AAAAAAAAAAAAAAAGCTGAAGAGGATGAGAGGAAGCCTTGAGAATTATCTCATTTCTTAAGAGGAAAACATTTGGAAGCTGAAGTATGATGAACTATTTATTGACAAAAGATTCCAGACGCCGGCAGGCTGTGCCTGCTTTGCTTTAAGTACACGCGAGCCTCTTGCAACACTATTAATGCTAAATACTTCACATTTTGTCGTGAGTCAAGCTTATAAACCTACACAGGTTCTTCCGTGAGACACTCCCCTGAGAACGGGTGGAAGAAATGCCTGAGAACAGGAAAAACACATCCTGCCATCTAAACCATCCTGGAGGGATGGTGTCACGGCGCCGGCCGGCTCAGAGCCCGGCAGGGCGCGGCCGGGCTCCTCTCAGCTCGGCGCTCACGCCGCGGGCCGTGCCGGCGAGCCGCAGCTGCCGGCGGAGCGGCACCGCGGAGCTGCCCCGAGCACTCACGGTTTTCCTCGCCACCCGCCACTCGCCGTCTGCGATGCTGTGATACCGGACCAGCGTGTTCCGCAGCTTCGAGGCCAGGGGCGCGGGGTTGGGCAGGGGATCCATGGGCTTCTCTCCCGCGCGGAGGTGCCTAATCACACACACACACAGAGCAGAACAAGGCACGGAGTCAGGGATGCCGGCAGCAGCGCGCGTCTTCCAAGCCCGAACGGAGGATGAGGAAAACAGCGCCGCGCGCACACACGCACATCTCCCGGCCGGGCTCGGGTGGCAGAGGGCGGCTGCCAGGGTGTAAAGCCGAGGATGAGCGCTCAGGCCGAGAGCCGCCGCGGCAGCGGCAGCCCCGGGACGCGGCGGGAGCGCGGCACAGACGCGCGTCCCTCAGGGCAGCGCCGCCGCGCCGGCCCCGCGCTCACCTGCCGCCCGCCCGACAGCGCGCGATACCGCCAGCCAATCAGAGCGCGACCGCCCCGCCGGCGCAGCCAATGGTGGCGCGGTCCGCCGGGCGCGGGGGCGGGGTGACCGCTGCGTTGCGTCACGCGACCCCGCGATATGTCGCGATCGTGACGTCACGAGGCGGGGGCTGGTCCCGGATTGGGAATGGCGGCGGTGGCGTGAGGGAGGGCGGGCAGTGGGACCCGCGCCAGAGCCGCTCTGCTCACGCGTGCCTGGCAGTGTCGCTTTGCACTGATCGCAGAGTCACAGAATCGGCTGAATTGAAAGGGACGCGTCAGGATCGTCGAGTCGCACCTCCTGTCCTGTTATCTGCATCCTTGTGTCCCAAATCCCAGACATTCTGTGGCACTTCAAGAGTCACAGAATGCCTGAGAGCATTGTCCAAGACTTACTGCGCTCAGTCACGCTGGGGCTGTGAGCACTGCCCTGGGTGCCTGTTCCATTGCCCAAACACCCTCTGGGGCAAGAACCTTTAGCTGATACCAACCTAAACCTCCCCTGACACAGCTTCAGGCCATTCCCTTGGGTCCTGTCCCTGTGCTCCCCAGAGAAGAGAAGGACTTGCCTCTTCCCCTTCCAATGAGGAATTTGCAGACTCTAACGGGGTCTCCCCTCAGCCTCCTCCAGGCTGAGCAAACCAAGGACCCTCGGTCACTCCTCACAAGGCTTCTCCTCCATCACCATCTCTGTGTCCCTTCTTTGGATAATCTCTAGTGGCTTTAGCTCTTTTTTACATTGTGGTCTCCCAGGCTTCCCCCAGCACTGGAGAAAAAGCCACCCCAGCCCAGAGCAGAGTGGGACAATCCCTTCCTTGCCCCATGGTGATGCTGGCCCCGATGCCCCCAGGACAGGGATGTCCCTCCTGGCTCCAGGGCACTGCTGGTTCATGCTCAGCTTGCCAGGGACCAGGACCTGCAGGTCCCTTCGCACGGTGCTGCTCTCCAGCCTCTCATTCCCGGCCTGTCCCTGCACGCAGGGCTGCCCCATCCCAGGAGCAGAGCCCAGCACTTTCCCCGCTGAGCTGCACCCAGCTGGTGATTGCCCTCGGTCGGTTCATCGAGGTCTCTGCAGGGCCTCCCTGCCTTTGAGGGAGGCAGCAGCTCTTCCCCGTCTTGGATCACCTGCAGTTTGCCCAGTCTCCCTTCCAGCCCTGCGTGCAGGTTGGTTATGAAGGTGTTGGAGAGCACGGGGCTGAGGATGGAGCCCTGCAGGACCCTGCTAGTTTGATGTCACCCACTCAGTGTATCTCTTCGTGCCCAACCTGTCAGCCAGTTGCTCACTCATTATATGGCATGTTTATCCAGGTGTTCAAAAGATCAGTTATTTGTAAGTAAAATGGCCTCAACCTTAGGGTTTAAGGTTCAATGTCCTTCACAATTAAGGGGAGGTTGTCAGTACCTAGAAGAGGGATGTACTGTTGCAAAATGTGGAAGACATAGAAATTTTTTAAAAGGGATATTCTTTAATGTATTACCTTTTTATATTTATATATATATTTATATATATATATGTGTGTGTGTGGAAGATGTAAAAATTTTTAAGAAGGGATATTCTTTAATGTATTACCTTTTTAAACTTTCAACAAGAAGAAACAGTTAATCCCTGAAACAGAAAGCAGCCTACAAGCTCTAAGTGATGTCCAGGTGTTAGAAAAACATGCTACTTTTTGGCAGAATTGCCTTATTAAGGTTTAGGGCTTGGAAGGCTTCAGTGATCTCAGACCTATGGTGGTTTGCAAAGCTTTGGGAGAAAGATGTACCACTGATGGCGGACACAAAGAATGCAGCATTTACAAGCCACAAGGACATCTGGCAGAATCCCCAGGAAAAGAAGGAAACTAGTAAAGGAATTCAGCAATTGTGCTGAATCAAGAATGACTGGGTAAAAAGTAATTCCAGCAGCAGGAGATGCAACTGCTGACCCAAAAGTGAAGATTGAGCATGCAGATTAATTAACATAAGAAGGGAGGGACTCACTTAACCTATAGAAGATAGGCTACTAACCAGTAAGAGAACTATGCAGCCAATGAACAATAATTCCTATTTTTGCTAAAATGTATAAATAGTAAAAAGTTACGGGAGTCATGGTGCTGGCTTTGCAGATTTGCCACCAACTCCCCATTGCTGCACAGGTCTGTAAATAAATCTAGAATCTCTATTCTGTGCATGTATTGGCTTCCTGAACACCAGTGCAAGAACATATTTGGGGACAACAGGGCTTGTGTACAATGACTATATTAAGTTTTACACAGGGCTACAGCTTTTCAAAGTCCTGTGTATTTGCTTTCAGCTGAAGCATGTCCTGCAGGTGCCAGTGTGGTGGGCAGGAGCAGTGAAGGAAGATTCCCTGGGTCAGCATCTCCAGGTGGCTGTTAGCTGTGGCTTTTGTCGCAGCACCTGAAACTGAAAACAACATTCTTGTCCAGCCACAAAGGGCGTAAGGTTCTGCAGAGCATTGTGAGTGACACATTGAGGTGAGAAAGCCTAAAACACTCCTGATCCAGTCAGCAGTGCTTGCAACACAACTCAGCAAGATACTGAGGAAGTGTTGAAATTTCAATTTGTTTTGTAAAGCAGCAAGCAGACCGGATTCCTATCCTAGGAAACGTCAACACCTATGGTCAGCCCACAGCTGAAGCAAACTCCAAAAGTGAGTGTAAGTGCATGTTTCCTGTAGGCTTGCACTGTTCACTGGGCATCATTCAGTCCAGCAAACACATTAGACAATGTCCATGTAAAAAGTGAAACCTCTTGTAAGGACGGGATGATAAATTGGTTAAAAAGCAGATGATTAGAATGGGAGGTCAACAGATCTTCTTTGTGTGGTAATGTGTTGCTCATTTTAGCCAATGCTGGCTCCCAAAATGAGTGTTTTGTACATGGATTTGTTTTCAATACAGGGCTCTACATCAGACCTTTTGAACTGTCCCTAGTTCTCTTTGCAACTTATAATTCTTGCTCATTTTTCCCTAATTGAAAACAGGTCTCTAAACAAAAGTCATGCTAGCACATACTAAAAAAAAATTAAGATATTTTACATGCAATCCTTGAAATTTTACAAATTGTAGAATCAAGACAGAAGTTTTGAGTTTGAAGAATAGTGACTATACAGGAACATACTTCATTCATCTTCCTTCAGATTGCTATTATATTTCTCTGACTGAACAAGGGTACCATCCAAGGTACTGGTCAAATGTACACTTTCTCCATTCTTCCTTGCCCTGTTACACTCCTTGAAGTCCATTGTGTTAGCGTTCAGGAACACACATAACCATAGGATATGATTATATGCAGGTGCTTTTATCGAGAGCTCTGGGAATCAGGGGTACAGACCCAAATCTGACTCCGACATGGTTTTTGAGCTGAACGTATTTTATATTCTATAGTTATATAACTCACATATTAATTATTAAACTTATATTGTTCTGTTGTATACACTGACTTTATTCAAGCATGAATTTCTTGAGATCTTTCTTAGGCCCATGACCACAGTTTCTCATGATTATCTTATGATAAAACAGTAATTATATTTAATTACTAAACAATCATCACATCTAACAATTATATAATTTATCATGTACTAGCTGCACAGGTGCAGTTCTAGCAAGGTACAAGGCCTACATGTACCCAGGGTATTTTTTTTTTCAGGGCCTACTAAGCTTAATTTTCCTTCTAAGCCTAAATCCTCATGATTTTAAAACCCTTTTACTATCAATTGCTTTCATGCCTTTGAGCATAACATTCCTTCCCCATGGGCTATTACGAGCTTAAACCACCAGTGTAAGTTTATTGATTTTTTAAGAGGGAAATTTCTTTTTCTTGAAGGGGGAATGGGAAGTCTGCATTGATAAATGCTGATATTTTTAAAATCTTATTTGTATAAAGGTTTTATGTTTCCATGAACTCAATGGATTTTAACAGAAATTTGTTTGTATTTCTTAAAGATTCTCTGAGAACTCATACATCAAGTTTCTCAAGTTTAGGATATCTGTAAGGTTTCTGTAAAGTAGTCTTATAGGTTATAGATACTATGTATTCTCTGTTAAATATATTTAAAATTAATTTTATTATCTGAGCCAACAGGATGCTTTCAGGACTGATAAACTGTTTCTTGCTCACAGTCAGGTATTTCCATACCTTCTGGCTTCCCAGCTGTGCAGAGCACAGTGTCAGGGAACCATGTGAGATAACCAATGTGATGCTGAATATGTTTCCTGTCTTACCTTCCTTCGTGAGTTACAGCAATACCTACAATGCCACCAGTCTGTGCCTATGTGAGAAAAGTACTGTGAGGATGTGAATGGTAAATATTGCTAACAATACCACAGCTGAGCTTTTGCTACTCCTTCCTTCTGGTCTCTCTGGCCCATCTCTGTGCAGTAACTTCTGAATCACTCCCAAATTGCACCACAGCTGTGTCATGCCTGAGGTATGCTGTATTCCTGTGGAAGAACATCTGTTCCTCTTGTTACATAACACCTTGCATGGATGAATTTTTATTATCGTAATGGGTGAGACCCACAAACACTGTCAAAAAGTCCAAAATATCTCTTTACCCCAACTGGAAAGTAATGAGATAAAATAATTTTCTTTCTGGAAACATCTGTGTTTAATTCCATGAAAAGAATGCTTGTCTTAGAATGCATGATAATTCATATTAAAAATCCTGTTGTTTGGAAAAGTGGGAGATTAACTGCTGGCATTTAATTTTAGTTTACCAGTGCCTGGCAATAGCTTTGATCACTGAAGGTGCTCCTCTGTAGAATGTATAACAATCTTGCCTGGTTTTCAGATGCAAGGAACTGTAGACTTTTAATCCTAATGTCTTGCAAGCCAGCAAAATATCTGAAGTTTACCAAACATATTGGACTAAGTTCTGCTTTTGTAGAAATGGGTACAGAACCACTAATACATAATGTGCTCACTCGTATATGATGCTCAACATGCTGCTTC